TGAAGCTTTTTTCCGCGTTTTGCATGAATTACAGATAATTATATGAATAGAGTAGCGACATATCAATGCAGGCTTAATCGTTCTTATTTATTATCTTTTATTTGCCCTGTCACGGTTCGACTCTCATTGGGGATGTTGCCCGGATGAGAACAACTTTTGGGAAAACAAGGCTATGCGAAATTCAATGGAAACGTCAGCTCTACTACCAGTCCTTCATCACCTTAAACGAAATAGGTTGAATACATCTCATTTATTTGAAAATGTTTCGAAGTGTTACTATACTGGCAGCTTTCGGTAACCCAGTCGACCTAGTGACGAGTTATACGCACCTCATATCCGAAAGGCCATTGAAAATGGGTTCCTTATTCTATCTGATTTCAATTTTGATATTATATTTGGTTCATTTTTTTGATTGCTTCACATTATAGACATTACTAAAACTGCACAACGATATTAATATAATGCTCATATTTGGCTAGCAAACTTACCTTTAATTTTCCTCTTTTTTCCCCCTTTACCACGATTCTCTTTGATTATTCGTATTCGCGTCGATTTCGTCGCACTTTACTCTCCGTCTGACAGCCACCTTTCGACTGATATTTCTTCACCTGTTGCCGGGTTTAGGCCTGGCTTCGCTCACGGTCTCGAGCTTGACCCAATCGAGCGTAACCTCTTCGTATCCTGTTCAGGCCGGACTCGTCTTCTTTCACCTCCGGCATCGGTTTCGCTTCCTGCATTCTCCAACGCTATATCGTGTTCCTCCTCTTCTTCGCCTTGTTCTTCTTCCTCTCCCTGTTCCTCTTCTTCTTACGGCTTTGCTATATCTCCCTCTTCTACCACTTACTTCGGCAAGCCGCCTAGCTCTGGACCGGCGCGAAATCGTCACCACCACCTACCATCACGGCACTCCCTCCTACAGCCCCCATTGTTGCCTCCGCCTGCTCCGCCACCTCATCCTTCGCCCTCTTCACTTTCTTGCACCTACCGTCCACAGATCAACCACAACTCTTCTCAAGGTCCTCCATTTTGCTCATCTTCGTCGGCTTGTGGTTTGGAGGAGCGCTTCTTCAAACGCACCACACTTTCGATGCCTCGAGGCCTGTCCTTAGGCATACACGATAAGGAGATTGCTTCAGCGGATAGCACAGAGACAGTCGGCGAGAGAGCGACACTTGCGGATCGAGCAGAATCGCTTAGAGAACATGGTGTCTTAGAGTCCCGGCGTCTGCTGATGCGCGACTGGAATCCAACGGGTGGATCACATTCCGAGCCCCGTAGACTGCAGACAGGATCGACTGGTTTTAGTGGAGGAAGTGGCATCAAAAGAGGTGGAGGCGAAGCCGGATTTTCTGGAGGTAGCGGCAATCTCTACAATTCCGTTGGAAAAGGTACCGAGGTTAGCGCTGGAGCTGGCGGCTTACCGATGAACTTTGTGAAGCGGGTACATATTAAGAAGCCGTTAAATGCCTTTATGCTCTTCATGAAGGAAATGCGGCCTCGTGTGCAAGAGGAGTGCACACTGAAGGAGTCAGCTGCTATCAACCAGATATTAGGCAAAAAATGGCACGAACTAAACCGTGATGAGCAGACCAAATATTATGAAATGGCACGTCGGGAGAAGGAGCTTCATAGACAGGTTATTTCACTAAATTTTGCTTTCATTTTTTTCATTTTATTTCTAGGAACCCGAGTTTCAACATCTTTTTACTTATCCTTCTCCGTTCATCTACAACGTATTGTAGGGCTTACCTATTCATAATCTTCCTTTGATTCTAATGCACCTTTTTACATTCTTTCGCTTAGTTCCATGGGTTTTTGCTTCATTTTACCCTGTTTAATCATCTATCCATATCTTCGTTAATAGCCAAACTCAATAAAACAATTCTTTATTTTCTAAAATGCTCAGCACTCAGATTAGGTATTATCATCATTTTTAATACGGTTAAGAGATTGTCAATATTGGTCACATTTGAGCGAACATTAATAATTAGCTAAGCAACCATGAAATTTTGGAAAACGAAAATAAGTGCTAGTTTATGCAAGCCGATTAGATCCCTGATAAAGCAACCAGTTATAAACATTTTATTAAACTCCTTAAATGGCTACATGATGGCACCTGGTTCATACTCCATTTCCTCACATCCGAGATAAGCTTATTCTTCTATGAAGTCTAATTTATTTAGTTAGATTGACAACCTTTTTTTTATTCAACACCAAAAATTTGCTTGCGATCTAACGACATTAATGTAAAAATCATATTGCTTTATTTTAACCCAAAATCCATATAACTCGTTGAAAATCATGGTAAATCGCCTAGCATTGTGTTCTTGAACCAGAAGCATCCTCCAACATGATGCTGACTTGAGGTAGTTTTCTACACCCCACATTTATACCTACTATCGCATTAGTTTCATCCAAAGACTCCGAATTTATATATCCTTATAAAGGTCTATAACCCATTTTTGGAGTACTTTTATGACGATAAAAAGAATTAATTTATGTATGGGCCGTTGTTTAATCATGATGCAAAAACACGTTAGTGAAGAATAAACCATAATTATAATCTAGGTTTGCATTCTCTCATCTTCATTGTTTTTTTGCCTTATAGCATAGACACCGGGAGACAATCTTTGCATAACTTGTATGCTTATTCTACTTTAGTACAAATCAATTGACTAATTACTTTTTTTTAATAAGGACCTAGTCACCTTGGGTTGCTTGATGAGAGTAAACGACCGACAGTAGAGTTTTTCCAACAACTATTTGAGTGCGCTAAGTGAAA